TGAACTTTAAAGTGTTTTTTTTTTTTTTTTTTTTTAAACAACTTAAAAAATTATTTTAAAAAATTAAATAAAAAGAATTTTTTTTCTTAATGAATGAATGAATGAATGAATTTAATTAAACAATTGTAAATAATGTTTAAATAAAAAAAAAATTGAACAATTGGAATTTACCAAGGGGGAAAAAAAAAATTTAAAAAAAATTAAATAATTTTCCCTACTAATAATCATCGATAGTAACAATTTCCGATTTAAATTTAAAATCCATCAATAATAATAATAATAATAATAATAATAATAATAATAATAATAATAATAATAATAATAATAATAATAATAATAATAAGTTTATAAAAAATAAAAAATTATAAAAAGTTTAAAAAAGAAAGCATAAAAAAATAATTTCTAAAAACAAAAAACAAAGAATTAAAAATTTTAAATATTTTTAATAAAATGATTAATAAAAATTTTTTTGACAATTTTAAACAATAATAATAATAATAATAAAAGTTATTACATATTAATAATTTATTTATTTAGGAAAAAAATAATAATAATAAAAAAAACTTACCGGCATTTTGACGTGAGAATAAGAAAAAAAAAAACTTTAAACAATTAAAATTTGAACCAAAAAAATTTGAAATAAAAAAACAAGCAACAGTGGCAGTAGAATAAACTTTTTGCTTAAATTTTTTTTTTTTTTTTTCTATTCCGTTTAAATAAAATTCAGAATGAAACAGAATGAAAAATACCGAATAAATATTCTTATATTTCAAATTTTCAAACGTAAGATCCAAAAATAAAAATTGCGTCTGCTCTAAAAAAAAAAAAAAAAAAATAAAAAACATGTAACGTTTTTTTTTTTAATAAATAAATATATATATAAAAAATAAACATAAGATACAAACTCTCGAGTAAATTTTAATTTTCGTTAAAGATTTTTAAAACGTTTTAATTTTAAAAATGAAATGACAATGTCAAAATTTTTTTTTTTTTATTATTACATATTAATTGTAAAATTTTTTTTTTCGGTAATTAAGGTTGCTGGAAAACGAGAACCTGAACAAGAGAGGGAAGCACAAGAATGGATCGAACAAGTCGTTGGTGAAAGATTTCCTCCAGGTTATGCTTACGAAGATGTACTCAGAGATGGTGTCTTCCTTTGCAGGCTCATGAATAAATTACAACCTGGAATCATTTCCAAAATTAATTATTCCGGAGGTGATTATAAATTTATGGATAATTTGAGTCAGTAAGTATTTATTTATTTATTTTCTCCCCTATTTTAAGAGTATATTAATATAAATAAATTGCTTTTTTTTTTCGTTTAAACTCTTTCATAATATAAATAAATAAATAAATAAATTTTTTTTTTTTTTGGCATAAGTTAAATATTTATTTTGGAGCGATAACAAATAATTTTTTTTTAAATAAAAATATAACGTTATATAATTATTATTATATTATTTTATTAAAATTATAAATAAATAAGTTTTAATAGATATATATATAAGAAAAAAAAATTTATTTTTAAACGTGATAAATAACATGGATATTAGATTTCAAATGCACCCACCTTTATAAATATCATTGGGAATTATAAAAAGACGGTAAGAGATATTTATATTAACGTTGGTTAAAAAAGTCATTTTACATTTTCTAGTGATAAACAACAACTTCTTAAGCAACATAATCTCTTGAACTTTATGTTTTCCTGGTAACAAGAGGGGCTAACGTCGGACGTTACGACCGACACAGCTCTCTCTCTCGGGAACGCCCGTTTGCCCACCGTCCCGACCCGTGCGGTTCTTCCGTCGTCTCAAACTATAACGACTCCCCCTTCCTCAAAACGTAGCCCCTTCGTTGTTAAATTATTTTTATGTTTCGCTTATGTAGAATTAAATTGCCCTACTGGCCGCTCTATATATCTTTACTTTCTTCTTTTTTCTCTCTCTCTCTCTCTCCCACTCTCTCTTTCTCCCTCTTTTTTTTCCTCCTCCTTCTCCATTACACAAAATTATTATTATTATTATTATTTGTATTTATTTTTAAATTTATTTATAATTATTTTTTCGTAACCGTTTTTTTTTTTTTTAAATAAAATCTGATGTAAATTTCCGATCGTAATAAAGGGCGGTGACTTAAAAATAACGAAACGTTTAACGATTTAGAACGTCATTTGAAATGTCAGAGATTATTTTTTTTTTTTTTTATTACCGCCCATAAAATTTTATTTTAGAATTTAAAAAAAAAAAAAAAAAACATTTAACGAATTTCGAAATCAGTTTAAAAAGAAATAATTAACTGATTGATGTCATTATAAATATTTAAAAATAACAAAGTTTAAAATTTAAAAAAAAAACCGTTAAAATTATTAAAGGCGATTCTCATTTTAATAAATATTTTAATTAATTAATATAATATATTAATTAAAATTTACTTAGATTTCAAAAAGCTTGCGTTAAATATGGAGTTCCCGACGTTGATCTTTTTCAAACGGTCGATCTTTGGGAAAAGAAAAATATTGCACAAGTCACAATGACAATATTTGCTTTGGGCCGAACCGTGAGTCTCCATTTTGTTTTTATATCGTAAAAACCGAATTAAAATAAAATGAATATAAATTTTTTTTAGGCTTACAAACATCCGGAATGGCGCGGACCATTTTTAGGCCCTCGTCCGAGTGAAGAAAATAAACGCGACTTCTCGGAAGAACAATTAAGAGCCGGTGAAGCTATTATAGGCTTGCAAGCTGGTACCAACAGGGGTGCCAATCAATCGGGACAAAATTTTGGCGCCACTAGAAAAATTTTATTGGGAAAATAAATTTGAATTATTTTATTTACCATATTTAAATGATAAAAATGTTTTTTTGATGTATTTATAAAAAAAAAAAAAAAATTTAAGCATTTAATTTTTTCGGTTACGTTCAAAAAAGAAAAAAAAAAAAAAACTAACCTTTAAATCGATTTTTAAATAACCGTTTTCCTGCGTATTTTGACAAAAATAATTAATTTATAATTTTAATTTAAAAATATTATATATTTGGTTTTTCTTACATTGAGTGATTCACGTTTTTTAATAAAGGATCCATTATTCTTAAAAATTGTTTTCCAAATTCTTTTTCGGAAAACCTTTGAACGGATGATCTTGAATAAAAAAAAAAAAAAAAAAAAAAAAAAAAAAGAATCCTTTACTACTACATCATCACTACTATTTAATATATAATAATAATAATAATAAAGTGATTAATTCTTACCTTGCTGCCAATATGATTTTTTCTTTCTGCTTTTGTGACATTTGTAATATAAATGCTAAAACTTGAGCGTATTCATCATCGTCCACGGCTAAAAATCCTGTTCTACTATCTTCGGTTTCGATTATGATATCCGTTTTAGGACCACCGGATTTGTGAGCGACCATTATTAATCCTGCAGCCATGCATTCTACGACACCTGAAAAAAAAAAGTTTTTTTTTTTTTTTTAACATGTTATTAATTCATTCGAGTAAAATTTTGAATTACAAATAACCTATTCCAAAGTGTTCATTCCACATTGCATGAAGACCAATTGTGGATTCTGTCAATTCTTTCAACAATTCCGAGTATGGTATGTTTAATTTAAAAACAACATTATTTTCCAACGATAAGTGTTTACATAAATCTTCCATATCTTTAACTCTTCTTTTGTCTTCTGCATTTCTACAACCACCAACCAAAACCAACTGAACCTGGGAACAAAACAATTACGAGCATGAAAAAAAAAAAGATTATAATTTATCAATTTCTTTTTCAATTTATATTGTAAAAAATGTTTATTACCCTGTTCCAAAGCTCTTCCGATATCAATCCTCTGAGCTGATACAAAGCTCTCAGTTGTAAAGGATGATTTTTTTCCGGTCTGAATTGTCCGATGGACAAAATTTTAATTAAACCTTTTTGATCTACATTATCTCTCGGTATGCTGATTAAATTTTCAATAGCACAAGGAGGATAAACGCAATGAGTCGACATGGGTTGTTGCCAGAGTTCATTTATGTGTTGTTCAGTCCAAGTGGAATTTACCATAACTATATCTGCAGTTCTTCCTACCATGCCATAAAGCTAAAATAATTAATACAAGTTCACAATACTTATTCATTACATTGTTAGGACTTTTTTTACTTACCCATGCAAATATTTTATAATAAATTAATTTTCCACCAGTTAAAAAAGGAGATTTCGCTACAAATTGCCTATTATTATAAGTAGAAACTCGTTTTGAAACAATTTTTAACATGTCCGTGGTTATCGTAGGATAATGAGTGTATGTCGCTATCTTACAATGTCCAATGTATTTAAATAAAGGATAGGTAAATGCATAGCCCATGGTATCTATGAATAAATCTTTTAAAAAAATGATGTTAGTATAATAAAATATTATCATTATTAGAAAAAATTAAGAGATTTAAAAAGTGTACCTGGCTGATGGAGCGAGAGGGCTTCCATACCTAAAAAAATGGACCCCAACGATTGTCCGAGTAAAGTAAAATAAGGGTATTTTACTGGTTCGATCCATTTTCTGTGATTTAAATAAGCAAACTCTAATTTTCCTTGAAAATTTAAATTAAATCTTTGTTGTACTTTTGATAGTATTTCTTCTGGTGAATATTCGACATCTCCAGTGTAAACAACAATGTTTGTTTTAGGGTACCTGAAATACAACTTTAAAAAATTAATTACATATATTATCTTTAGGTTTTAAAGAAAAAATTGAATTATTGTATGAATGTCATTGAATTTGTTAAAATTAGTTGTAATTAAATATACAAACTTTTCGAAAATGTTTTTCACAGCTGCCCACAAAACTCTTTCTCCTCCTCCTCCATCGTTGCAATAGGGATGAAAAATACCAATATGCAATGTTGAATTTTTAGTTTTCTTATAAAATTTCTAAAATAGAATTTTATGCATGTGTAAAAATATTTTTATTAACAAGTCTTTTTTATTGTAAATGTAAAAATAACTTACAAATCTATAATATGTAAATATAACTGGAATTGCAATTAAAAGCCATAAACAAACACTGCATATTAAAAAAAATATTATTTGTAATATTGAAAATAAAATTTGCCTGAAAAAAAAGAAAATTGAAACAATTCTTTTTTTAAATGAGAAATAAAAACAATAATTTTATTTGTGACAATTTGAAGCTTTTGAAAAAATCTCTAAATCAATTTCCTTGCCATTAAATAAAACTTACATTTTAACATTTATAATTTGAATAAAAATAATAAATGCCGGTAAACTTGAGCCCCCAAATAGATTTTTGCAAGTATAACTGACAAGTAAAGTTAATTAGCAGAAGACAAAAAGTTTATCGTAAAAGGTACACAAGTTAATTGTGTGTAAATGTCCGGAGTACTTTTATTACCGTCAGTCAACCTCCGATATGTATTAAAATTTAGGTTCGTATGTTTTAATTAATATTTTTAAAAAATTTAACCGTTTTTTTTAAATTAAATTATGTTTCACGCAATATTTATTTTTCTCTTACATTTTATCACTATTTAAATATTTAAATTTTTTTAGTTATTACATCATTGATGATATTAAATTTAGATAATGAATTTTTTTTTTTTTGGTTATAGTTTTTAAATTTTATTAATATTCTAACGTATTTTTTAATCATTTATTAATTATTAACTTATTTCTACTCAAATATATATGTGCTGGTATTATATTTCTATACTTTATGTATTCAATTTATCAAGTTTGTCTTGCATGAGTTATTTATAATGAAGAAAGAAATATAAATTATTATTATTATCATCATCTTTATTAAGTGTATTATTCTATTCGTTTAATTATCCAAAAAAAAAAAAAAAACCGTTATTTTCAAATTTAGGAAAACTCGATTCTCAATATGGACAAGGTAACATAAAAATTTTAATAGATTTCCCCATTTTTTTCACAGCATAAAAAAAAACTTTGAATAAAACTATATTTCCTTATTTAAAATTCATTAAAATGATGATGATGATGATGCATTTATTCCTTAAATTTTATTTTTAGGTTAATATTTTATAGGTTTTTGTGTAAATGAAAATTTCAAAATAAAGAAAAAGGGGAGGAATAATGAGCGAAAGCAAAAAACATGAAGAATTTGTGTTAAATGAAACAAAATGTCATTTGCCAGAACAAGTACATAATTCTTTAGATTCAAATAATCATAGCGATACTGAGAATAACATTTTTTGGGAGCCGAAATTAAGAAAAAAAAATTCATTTAGTAATCCTCTTTTAAGTATACCACCATCGACATCGAATGCAAATTGCGAGGTTGGTGAATATTATTTTTCACATTAAAAATATATATAAAAGAGTTTCTCATTTCTTTTCTTTTTCCGTTTATTTAAGATCCAAGATGATAGTAACGAAAGATCATCTTCTTTTTTTAAAGATGGCTATAGAAGTATTGATTATGTATTGGTTTGGGATAAATTTCAACCTAGATCCTTAGATAAAATAAATGTAGAAAAAAGACAGGTAAGATCTAAAAAAATTCATCTACTCTCATCTCATCTAGTTTAATCTCATCATCTCCATTTTTATTAATATATAGATTTTCGAAGATAATTTGAGAGGTGAAGGTTTAGATTTAGAATATGAAAATGAAGTTGATGGACTTAATTTTATTAAAATTCATGCACCCCTTCAAGTTTTAAGAAGATATAGCGAAATATTAAAATTAAGAATGCCTATGAAAGAGGTAATTATAACTTTCTTACTCGAAATCATTATTTTTAACCAAAGATTAATATTAATTATTATTTTTAGGATTTGTGTACTATAAATAAAGATCAAAAATTAAATCCTATACTTCATGCAACAATGTTTCTTTCGAAAAAGGTAAATTTTAAATATTGGGGTTTAACCTGTTTAAAGTTATGATATACAGAAATTTTTCTTGTCTTGTTAGATACCTGAATTTCAAGGTGTTCACGATAGAACAAATTCATTTTTCGACAAATGCAATGCAAGTATTTACTCTGTATTAAAACACATATACGTAGATAAAAAAATATTTCCTAGGAAAAGTCATAGATTTACAGCAGTTTATAGTCGAGACAAAGAATACCTGTGAGTATTTTTAAATATGCCTAAGAAAAAACAAAAGAGAAAAAATAAAAAAAAAACTCACGTGACGTCACATTGAAAATTGATCCGTTTTCTATTGTTGATTGTTTTTTTTTTTTTTTGGTAAATCTTCACATTTCAGGTTCGACGTCAATTCACCTGGTTTTTTCACACCAGCCATTCATTCACGTATCGTGCAATTTATTTTAGACAGACAGAGATTTTCTCTCGACGACAGTAATGAATTTGCATTCGGAATAGAAAGGTTAATTAATGAAAATGTCTACAGGGCAGCTTATCCATTGCATGATGTCAGTTCACACACAATTGGTTTTTATTTATTTATTTATTTTTTTCTTTTTAAATTGCATTTGCTTCTTGATTTATCTGTTTAGAAAAAACAAATTCAATTATTATTATTATTATTTTAATTCATTTTTTTTTTGTCACAGAGAGTACATACATAGATACACTTTGCAAAAAAAGTATTACACGTCGTTTATTATTATTATTATTATTATTATTACAGCTTAACTTATATTTTAAATAATAATAATATTAATAATGGTAGCGATAGGTTTTATTTGCTTTTATTTTTTAAAAAATTTTAGGGAGATTTAAATACACCCGGAAGCATGCGATACACTTTATTCAACGAATGGGGAAGCATAAAAAGGTTTTACCGTTATCAACCTTTAGATTACGTAAAAGACTATTTCGGAGTTAAAATAGCATTGTATTTTGCCTGGTTGGGATTTTATACTCACATGTTAGTTCCTGCTAGTATTGTAGGCCTTGTTTGCTTTATTTATAGCTGTTGCACTATTTATCAAAATCAACCTAGGTGAGTTTTCCATTTGCTTTATTATTATTATTATCGCACTTTATAGTAAAATCATTTGTTAGTTCAATATACGCCATGTTTTTTTTTTTGTTCGTTTTAGCCAAGATATATGTGAAAATCAATTAAAAATAAAAATGTGTCCTCTATGTGATTTTTTTTGCGATTATTGGGATTTATCCGAAACTTGTTTGCACGCTAGAGTAACTTATCTCATTGATAATCCCTCCACAGTTTTTTTTGCAATTTTTATGTCTTTCTGGGGTGAGTTTTTCCCTTTTTTTCGTTTTAAATTTAATTTATGAACACAACAAATCGATAGTTTAAAAAAAAAAATTACTATTGTTTTACATCACTAACAAATTTTTTAGCTCACAAATTTTATAATCACTAACAAAATTATTTGTAAATAATAAGGTGTGTGCGTGTGTGTGTTATCGGAACCAACATTTTTTTTTATGTCGACCGAACATTATGTTGTATATACGATTGAACGAACGAAATAAAATTTATTTAATGGTGTCTGTGTGTAAACAACAACAGCGGCTATGTTCCTCGAACTTTGGAAAAGGTATTCGGCTGAGATAACACATCGATGGGATTTGACCGGTTTCGATATCAACGAAGAACATCCTAGACCTGAATATTTGGCAAGGTTGGCACACGTCGAAAAGAAACACGTTAACGTTGTTACAAATACGATGGAACCGTATGTGCCTTTTTGGAAAGTACGATTTCCAGCCACGATGCTTAGCTTTTCCATCGTTCTTTTATTGGTTGGTTGTTATTTTCTTTTCCCCCTCATGTAACTTGTTTTTTATTTCAAAAGTACTAAAGTCATTCATTCCTAAGGTTGCAATGGCCGTTGCTGCAGTTTTGGGCGTTGTCTTGTATCGAATGTCTCTTCTTGCTGCTCTGAGCGTTTACGGAGATTCCGTTATCACGAGTTATGCAATTTTATTCACGACCGCAACGGCTGCCACCATTAATTTATTTTGTATTTTTATTTTCAATTGGGTAAGTAAAATTTTTTTTTTTTTTTTTTTTTAATCCTCAATTTCTAACCAATACGGCGACATAAATATTATTTTTTTTGGTAGATTTATTCTTGGTTGGCTGAATGTTTAACGGAGTTGGAATTTCTACGTACTCAAACGGAATTTGACGATTCGTTAACGTTGAAAATATATTTACTTCAATTCGTTAATTATTACGCTTCCATATTTTACATAGCTTTTTTCAAAGGGAAATTTATCGGATATCCGGGAAATTACAATCGTTTGTTCGGTTACCGACAAGAAGAGGTGAGATAAATTTAACAAAAAAAAAAAAAAAAAGATATTATTAACTCACGTTAAGATCCGATCTTTTCCAGTGTGGTCCAGGAGGATGTTTGATGGAATTATGTATTCAGTTGGCCATTATCATGGTTGGAAAACAAGCGGCAAACACAATTTTAGAAATGCTCTTCCCTCTTTTTTTTAAATGGTTAAATTTACGTTGGCTGAGAACGGAATTGAGGGGTAAAACATCCATTAAAGGAGCTTGGCAGTGGCTAAAAGATTTCAAACTCATTCAATGGGGTCCGAGAGGTCTTTTTCCGGAATATTTAGAAATGGGTATGGCCCCAAAAAATTTTTTTTTTTTTTTTTGTCAAACTCGTATATATGCAACTTACCATTTTTTCTTTTTTTTTTCTTCCTGCAGTTTTGCAATACGGATTCGTAACGATATTCGTGGCGGCTTTTCCTCTCGCACCATTTTTCGCTCTCATCAATAACGTATTCGAAATGAGATTGGACGCGAAAAAATTGTTGACCTTTTACAGACGACCCGTAACTCAAAGAGTTCGAGACATCGGAGTTTGGTTTAAAATATTAAATTCCATCGGACGACTTGCTATTATAACAAACGTAATCAAAAGATTTTTATACATTTTTTTTTATTTTTTTTAGAATTTAAATTTAAATGAGTGTACCAATGTCTCGTTGTTTTTCAGGGTTTCATAATAGCATTTACATCAGAATTCATACCACGGCTCGTATACGTACTACACGTGAATGTAAATAAATCGTTGGACGGGTATTTAAATCATTCGCTGTCGTATTTTGACGTGACTGAATTTCCCAAAGAATCGGCTCCCCAAAATACAGTCTATAACATATCTTATTGTAGGTCCGTAATGATTCTACGAGTTTCGCATTCGAAAACGATTGGAATTATTTCATAAAAGTAAATTTTTGATTTGTAGGTATCCGGATTATAGGCAGGGACCGTGGCAGGAAAAACCTTATTCGACCACTTCCACGTATTGGCACGTTCTTGCGGCACGATTGGCATTCGTCGTCGTCTTCGAGGTATTATTTATCATTTTGTTTTTTTTTTTTTTTAAATTTAATTTAAAGAATAAAATTAATCGTACCTGAAAAAAAAAAAAAAAAAAAAAAAACAAAAGAAACAATCAGGAATTAATTTTGGAAAAAACCATTCTTTTACAGAATGCTGTAGTTTTGGTTATATTGCTGGTGCAGTGGTGCGTTCCTAGCATACCCGGTTACCTTAAAGACAAAATCAGAAGGGAAGCTTTCATCACGAGCGAAATAATAATCAAACAGGAAACGGAAAGAGCGAGAAGAGCCGGATTAACGCCGACACTAAAGAGATCGTCAAAAGGTGCCGGTGACGTATTATCGGGTCCCGAAGGAGCTTTGGAAACTTTAATCGCGAGGTAATTTTTTATGCAACAAGTCAAATGAATGAATTATTATTATTATTATTATTATTATTATTTATATCTTTTATCTCACTCGCTCGCGTTTATTTGTTTTTATTACAAGTGAAAATAATCTAGTCGCTTCTTCGTTGCAAATCAATTGCGCCCGCGTACCGCAAGATGTTCCTCTCGTGAGTCAACTCTAATGACGTCACACACAAAAATGGGATTATTTTAAGACAAAAAAACGTTATTAAGACGTTCCTTCCTTTTTTCTTCTAAAAATCTAGTCAAATTATCCTAACATTGTAATTTTTTTTTTTTTTTTTGTTATTATTTTCAATACTTGTAAAGTTTTGCTCAATCGATATTTTTTTGTTTTTTTTTAAATAACATGGATCATCATCGTGACGTAACAAAGTTCAACGACCTCTCCCCCCATTTAAATAAATTCGGTAAAAAAACGTTGAATTTCATGAACGACGAAAGAATAATATTTGCGATCTCTTCAAGTTTACTTTAATATATATGTAATTACCTCATGAAACTCATGTAAGCAAAAACTTCATTATTGATATTTGTCGCGCGTGTCGTAAATAATAATAATAATAATAATAATAAATATTGTTTCGAGCGTCGTCTGTCGTTTTAACGATTTCCTCCGCCCCCGCCCCGCCTCCCCATTATTTTTATTCGTTTTGATTATTTGTTAAAAATTGTTTTTTTTTGATTGTAAGAATTTATGTAAATTTATAAAACATATCCTTATTGTATTAAAAAAATAATTTTAACTAACATTTATTATTATTATTATTATTATTAATTATGAAAACTTTGAACAAAAAATAAGAACAAAACTAGTCGATACAGTTATTAAAAAAAAAAATGTTGACGGTTATAAGAATCATGTTAAGTTTTTTTTTTTATACCTTGAATATTATTATTATTATTATTAATGTTTTCAATATCGAAACCAAAAATTTTACTTTTGTAATTATACAATTTTTTTTTTTTTTTTTTTATAATATAAAAATAATTGTTTTTTTTTATTTGAAATTTTTTATTTTATTTATATCAAAAAAAAAAAAAAAAATAAATGAAAATAAATGAAAAGTCTTACATTACAATCTACAGTCTTTCAAGTTCCTCTAATATTTGATCTGTGATATCTTTTGAATCTTTTTTAGAATTAACAGCAGCTTCGATTGCATCTTTAAATAAACAAACAACGTTTGTACCATTGCTTGCCGATACATAATAAAAAGGAAAATTATTTTTTTGTGGGAATGCATATGACATTTGTGTCGATTCCATATTGGCTAAAATTAAATTAAATATTATTATCAATTATTATTCTGTGTAAGGAATTTCAAAAGAATAATTTATCCATAGTTAAATTGTGATTGATTGATTGATTGATTGATTGTTACTAACCATCTATTTTATTTGCTGCACATAATACTGGAATGTTTGGACGAAACACTCTTAGTTCTTTTAACCATTTAGGAAGATTTTTATATGTTATTTTTCTTGTCACATCAAAAACGAGAATACAACTGTTGGCTTCGTGATAGTAGGAAGGATGAATCGACTGAAACATTTCTTGTCCTGCAGTGTCCCAAAATTCTACTGATATTGTTTCCTTATTAACCGTTGTCTCATAACGATAGAGTTGTACAGCATAAGTTGAGATTTGTTGAGGTTTATAATTATCTAAAAGAAACCTTTCTACCAACCTAAAAAAAAAAATTGCCAATATTTCCATTGTGTGAATAAAATCCGTTATTGAATCATGATTCAAATGAAAAAAATTCAAAAATCGATAATTATCATGTAAAAAAATTCGATGTTTCTTCGATAATTGTTTTTTTTAACCCAGTAAATATATATTTAACGAATGATTATTTTAAAAATGATGAATTCAAAATGGAATTTACATTTTTTTTTTTATTTTAAGAGCAGCATTACAACCCTTATATATTATTAATAATTACCTACTTTGATTTTCCTACTGCACTATCTCCTAAGCAAATAATTTTCACATAACTTTTTCTTTTTTTTATATTTTTTTCATCAACATTATCTGATATTTTTTGATTTTCAGCCATGTTCGCTTTAATAATTGAACGGTTGTCATAACAAAAAATTTTAATTGATTCAAGTTGTTGATTGAAAGTATCTGCTAAAAACTTTTAACGGACGTTTTTATGGCGGAATTTTATTCGAGAACGCGCGGGAATGATAGAAGGCGGTGGAAAGTTCACAAAGTTGATGGTTCACATAACTATGTATATTATATTCGTTTCCATAATTTTTTTTAAAAAAGAATTTATCAACTAAAAAATTATCATGTCTTCTTGTAAGTTATTATAAATTATTATATTTTTACACTGATTTATATTATATATATATCATATATATATATTAAAAATATATTTGAAATATTAAAAAAATAATTTATCAAAGTTTTTTAAAAAATTTAATTTTTTTAAAAGTATTTTTGAAAAAAAAAAAAAAAAAAAAAAACGAATTATTAATACTATTTTTGATTATCGAATAACGAATTTTAATATAATAATTATTATAAAATATTTAAATTTATCATAACTTTAAAATAATTATTGTTATTATTAACCTTAATCAGATAATAAATATATTTTATATTGGGAAAAGAAGAATTGCTTGCTTCAAAAAGTACTCATTTTCATATATATATTCGGTTTTTTTTTTAGTGAATTACTTGAAAACATAAAAATAATTTAGTTAATAAAACATAATTTAGTTAATTTTTTAATTTTAATAAGAATATGGAAACTCATGGTTGCTTTTTATTTTTTATAAATCCTGATTAACATTTTCAATATCATCTTCTAGCGCATCGATACATGATAATGCTAATATTATCATATATGTTGTAAATATAACTAATAAAACTTCTAAACTGAGCAAGCTAAAATAAAAAAAAATTTGATATTTAAAATAAATTGTGTTTTGATTGGGAGAACTTTTAAAACGCATTCCATATCTATGCCATATTGATGCTTTTAATAATCTTTCTCCATTAATAAGCAAATATATTATATATATTGCTAAATATAAATAACATACGAGTAGGCCCCAAGGATATGCTTTTATTAATTTTAAATTACCATACATTATTCCAATCTGTAAAACAAGGTTAATTATAATAATAATAATAATAATTCATTTGATGAATTTGTTTTTTTTTTTTTTTTTCGAGTTTAAGAACTAAGAATTAGACAATACATACATACATACATACCAACAATAAAAAAGAGAATACCAAATAACAGAGTAGTTCAGTGAAATTAATTATATGAAATATGGGAAACAAATAAAAGACTTGAATGCCTGATGGTGTACTCCCAAGACAAATTGATATTACAATAGCATATTTTACAATTTCGAAAAAAACAGTTATAAAAACAATTAAATACAAGCCTGTATGCCATGAATATCTTTCCCAAACAAAACAAAATGCTTTGACTCTAGTTCGAAAAATGTGTTTCCTGAAATTATTAAATTAATGTATTTATTTTTTTTATACGTACAGATGAAAGAGAGCCATCAAAACGAAAAATAAAACCACCCTCCCAACCCCTTTTGGACCTTGAATTCGGAGAAAGCTCCGATGATAGTGATTTTAATATTGATGATATACATCAAGGAAGTGATGATGATGATGATTCTTCAGTTACTGATGATGAAAATGGTAAGTTGAAAATTTGTTTGAATGGGGTAAAGGTTCAGGTTTTTTGACTACTTTTGTTCGAGTGGTAAAGGTTCAGGTTTTTTGACTACTTTTATTCAAGTGGTAAAGGCTCAGGTTTTTTGACTAATTTTGTTCGAATTATAATTCATTCGACTAACTGTTTAATAATAATACTTACTAATAATAATATTTTGTTTTATAATTATTATTATTATTATAATAAATGTAAATAAATGTCATTAATAGTTTCTGGTAAATGATAAGTGATAATTATTTTTTTTTTTTTTTTATCATAGTTATTTAAAAACAATTTTTAACCTTTCTTTAAAACATTTACAACCCTCTCGGACCACAACAATTTCATCCCCGTCTTCGTTTAAATATTTAAATATCATTTTTTTTTACAAAATAATTATTTAATAACACTTAATTTTTTTTAATAATAATAATAATACTCTATTGTTTTGAATTTTTTTTTTTTTTTGATAAAGAATACTGCCAAGTTTTATAACTTTTTATAATTTTCTTTCAGGTACGGACAAAAGTTCTTTAAGTGATGATGATGATGATGATGATGATGAAGAAGACGAGGAGGAAGAAGAGGAATGTGAAAAAAAAGATGTAATTTCAAACGATTTGAATTTAATAAATAAATCAGAAGTTAAAACGGAAAAAAGCCTTCGAGATTTATTGGAAAAAGTAGAACCGCACCAAGTAATTGAAAATTAATTTTTTTTTTGAATACTTAAATGATTCTTAATTCAAAATGGTTTTCGTTTTTAGGTTGAAAATAAATTATTAAAAGCAGCCGAGGGTGTTATGATATGTTGCGCTTGTTTGGGAGACAAAAGCGATCACATAAACGAAATAGTCGAATGCGATTCCTGTGGGGTTACCGTTCACGAAGGTTGTTACGGTATTTCCGATTCTTTAAGCGTCAGCAGTTCCGAATCTCTTTGTCCGACCGAACCTTGGTTTTGCGAAGCATGCAGGGCAGGAGTGGTAAATCCATCTTGCGAATTATGTCCCAATAAGGGTAAGCAGTAAATTACGTCACCGAGAAAATAGTTGGGGGCTTGTTTTTTCAATCACTAAATTGTTAATTGTAGGTGGAATTTTTAAAGCGACAGATGTTGGAAGATGGGTTCATTTGGTTTGTGCTTTATACGTTCCCGGAGTTGCTTTCGGTGAAGTCGAAGGTTTAACGAACGTCACTCTCTTCGAAATGCCCTACAGCAAATGGGGAGCCAAATCATGCGTTTTGTGCGAAGATCACAGATTAGCCAGCACGGGAATAAATATCGGTTGTGATGCCGGAATGTGCAGAACTTATTTCCACGTAACTTGGTACGGAAATCGAATATAGTAAATACGAAAAAAAAGGTATCGAGTGCATAATAAAGTATTATTATTATTATTATTTAGTGCTCAAAGAGAAGGATTACTTTCGGAAGCTCACTCCGAAGAAGTTGATCAAGCAGATCCTTTTTATGCTCATTGTAAATTACATACGGATAAAACTTTGATGAAACGAAGGAAACGAAATTATATTGTCATGCAATACAAGACTAAAAAAAAAACATGCGATAATTCGGACGGTGAAAAGTCTAACGCGACCGCGGAAGCACTAAGAGTACAACGAAAACTAGCAAAAAAAAGGGCCAAATATTTGGCGTTAAAAAAAAATTCACCAACTCCTTGGGGTAATTATAGTCGACTTGTTGCCACAAATGCTTACAAATTATTATTATTATTATTATTATTATTATTATTGTTTAGTTCCGACGCAAAAAATGCCTCGATTACTCACGACGAGTGCTTCCGTATGTAGGGAACTATGGAGAAAAGCCGAACTCATGGGTATCGATTCGGATGCATTGGAAGCCAAAGAAAGTCGAGTGGCAGTTTTGACAGATATTAATAAAAAATGGCACGTACCTCCCGCTTTCAGGTATCGATTGGTACACTTTTTTTTTAATTTTTCCCGATAAGAAAGTAGTCGAGTCGCATTCAAATTTTTTTTTGTTACAGTTACGAATTCACGGGTTATTTTTTAGACAGAAACAATCGGATTCCGGCAATGAAAAAAAATTTGGAAAATCTCCTGTTGGAAAATGGAAAATTGTCGGGAGAACAAGAAGATTTGAAGAAAAAGTAATAATAAAATAAATATTTTAATTCTCATTGAATTTTGTCGTGGCACGTTTTTAATTTTGTTTTTATTTCAATCGTTCGTTTGTTGGTTCAGGTACGATCAGGCATTGATGAATAAACAAGAGGTTGAAAATTTCAACGTCAAATTGAAAAAGATTTTGGAAAAGTTTCACTCGTTTGTTCAATTCGTGGCTCCCAACAAACGTTTGCCCGTCGTTTCGGAAAATTTAGTAAATCAACCCCGAACATCTCATCCCTTATGTAAATTTTAAACGATTTTTTTTTTTTTGTTTTGGCTTTTACTTGTTGCGTGACGTCATTTTTTTTTTTGTTGCAGCTACCATGTCGGTACCCACTGCAGCCGCTTTGAAAGCTGGCGTCGGTTACCCGATCGCGAGAACGAATTATAAAGGACAATTACAAACGGAACCGAAAGTTATCAATAAGCAAGAACAGGTGAAGGAAACAAAAACCCTTAATCTTAATTAAAACCTTAAAACTAATACCTTAAAATGTATTTCAGGTTCCTCCTTTAACTTCTTTCGAATGCGGTATTTGTCGTTCTAATCTCAATCAACACCTCCTGGCAAAATGCGATACCTGTCATTTTCATTATCATTTGGGATGTCTGACTCCGCCCCTGTCGAGAATGCCCAAAAAGACGAAACTCATGGGATGGTAAGTGTTGTCCCCGCCCACTTTTTTAATTTTATAAAGATTTGTTGAGGGATTTGTATTTCCCACTCAGGCAATGTTCCGAATGCGATCAAGAATCTGGAAATTCAAATATGGAGGATATCGAAGGACCGAGAAAATTAAGACGAAGTAAAGAAGATTCTAAAAACGTCGCGGACGCGTCATCGGATTTCATCGAGGGGAAATGGTCCGTGTCGAAAATAAAAAGGGAGAAAAAGAGAAAGAAGGAAGAACATCCGGGAAGATATTCTCCCGAGTTTTTAGGAACGAGAAAACACAAGAAGAAGAAAAAAAATTTAAAAATTGACAATCTTCCAAGGATTAAAATAAAAGTAAATTTCTCTCTCTCTCTCTCTCTCTCTCTCTCTCGAGCATGGAGGCAAAGATTACGACCACGTGACATTGTTATTGTTCTTCTTCTTCTTCCAGATAAAAGCGATACCCAATCCAATGGGTGAAGGTGTATCGTCGGAAAATACTCAAATGTTTGTGGCATCTTCTTCCGATATAGAATCGGATCCTTTAATAAAAGACCAAGAATCTAATTTTACGCCATTTAAATCGCAAATTCCAAACGTCGTCACTCAGTGCGACACTTGCGGTAATTTCGACGACAATAAAAATTTAGTCATGTAGGTCATGTTCGTATTAAGTCATTGTTTTCCCTCCATTTTTTTTTTTTAAAAAAATCTTTCGAATTTTCATCTCCCACATGGGCAAATGTTTGTTTTTTTGTAGGTGTGACGAATGTCAGAAAAGTTTTCATTTTGGATGTCTCGATCCCCCGTTGAAAAAATCACCCAAAATGAGAGGATATTCTTGGCATTGTGCTGATTGCGATCCAACCGTAAGAATTTATCGAATCCCATTTTCTCTTTCCTTCCTTTTTGATTTCAAATGATCGTTTTTTAACGGTTTTTTCTTTCTTCTTGTTTTTCCCGTAGGATTCCGATCATAAGTGATGGCGGCGGCGGCGGCGACGGCGGCGGTGGCGTCGGTAAATGTATTATATATACATTGAATTTTTTATCACGTGATGATAAAACGACCGTTAATTTTTTCTATATATTTTTAAACGAATAAATTTTAATTTTTAAATCAATTTTTGTTATAATTTATTTGTTGCACCTGAAATTATTTCAATGCATTCTTCTTATGATAATTATTTCATAAACTCTGAAAATTTTTTCATTTCCGGTTTAAATTTTAAACGATTTGGAAATTTTACCCGTTAAGTTTCAATTATTATTATTATTATTTACATTTCGGAAATGAAACGAAAGGGGGGAAGAGAGGGAAGTGGAGGGGGGAGAGAGAGAGAGAGAGGGATTAAAATAATTTTATAAAAAAGTCACTAAGAATTGTCATTGTCGCGTTATTGTAATAAATAATTAATTAATTTGTTGTAAAAAAAAAAAAAATTAGGGTTAGTTGTTTGTACCTGCGCTTTTTATACTTGAATCTTTTTTCTTTTCCGTTATAACTTAAAAAAAAAAAAAAAAAATGAGTTCAGTGACATATAAACGAGTTTATTCCGGGCGCGTCTCGTTTTTTTTTTTTTTTTTTTTTAAAAATGTTATTATGAAATATAATTGATTTAAATATAAAACGTTTAAACGTTTTTATAATAAAGTTAAAATTTTTTTTTTTTTACACAATCGTTAACCTCAGTTTAAATAATATAATTTAATATTATTTTTATCTTTTAAAAAAAAATTGTGTTCCCAAAAAAAAAAAAAAAATCAATATGGCGGCACCATATTACTTTTTTTTTTTTTTTGTCCTATTGAAATTAAATAAATCGACATTTGAGTGATTTTCGAATTTGAAAAATAACTTACAACGACGATTAACTAAAAGATTATAATTTATTTATTTAAATTTTTATTAATAATAAATAAATTATGGTAATGTTTTTTTAAATTAATTTTACATTTTTTTTTAACTTTTAATTTTCCCCATCATCCTTTTTTTTTTTTTTTTTTTTTTACATATATATTTTTTGTCATGTTAAATAATTATTTCATTTAATTACAAATTAATTAATAAAATATTTGTGATAAATTAATTAGAGATTGTTTTTTTTTATAAATAATAATTTAATAAATTTTATTGATTTGTTTATTAAATGTCACAGATGTTTGTCATATCCGGATTTAAAACATTTAAAAATTTTTAAGTTTATGTAAAATTAATTAAAGTGACACTAATTAAATTATTATTAATATTTCTATCGTGACCTTTCACCTCTTAAATTTACATTTTTTTTCATATTAATTTGATTTGCTTTTTTTTACAGATGGATTAAATGTCTGTCAACCTAATGTCGAATGTCTAAGGACTTGTTAATAACAAAATGAATAATTTAATTAAGGATGAATAAATGAAAATTAAAATGATGGGGAGTTACATTATTTAAATATGAAAAATATACCCACATGATGGTATAAATGTTTTATGATGAGCCTCGAATGAAAAAAAAAAAATTATTTATAATGATATTTAAAAGAAATGATTGTGGTAAAGACTCATTCTGGAATAAGATAAAGTAATTATTTAAGTAATTATAAAAAGTAAGAGTAAAATGAAAGTAAAGAAGAAATAAAATTTTTGTTAGACGAGTAATAATTAACTTATTTCAGAATTACAGACTATGAATCTGTTTTCTTTATCTAATTGAAATCGAATGTTTTCTACACAAGATGGGGTCGATAAGAAAAACTCGCGAGCTTTCCGATATAGCTCCACAATTTGATGTGAAGGTGATTTTCATTTGAAATGTATATGTAAATTAATTTGTGAATTTGGTAAATACTTTAGAATTTCAATACTTTTGATTTTATTACAGGGTGGATTGTGCAAAAGTTATAATTTAGATAATGGTAGTTCTTCCAGCGGCATAAAAATTCAACATGTAACAGAATTAAATAATGTCCTGGAAGAAAAATCAAGATTTCCTAAATTAGAAGAATGTGCTCATTTTCATTATGACCATGTCGAAATAGGATCATTGCAAGTAAGTTTTTAAGCAAATGAATTATCAAGTTTTTGATTATGTGTCATTAAACTGGAAATCCTTACATACCGAATTAGTAAATTTTACTAAATTTAGTATCGATAATGTTTTTTTCAGGTAGTTATCATAGATGATGGTAGTTTAAAATCGTATAAAAATTCTGGTGAAGAAAAATGGTGGTCACTAAATGTTCAATCTCAAAATAAATCATGGCTTGTTAAAAGATCATACGATAATTTCAAAATGTTAGATAAACAATTGCATCAATGTATTTACGATAGAAAATTTTCAGAGTTGATGGAATTACCCGAAGAATGCATCGAAGAACAGGTACAATAATGAATAATTTTTTTTACAAAAATTGATTTTAAAACAGAATTTTCCGGAAAATATTTAAAATTTTTCCCCCCTTTTTTTTTTTTTTTTTTTAAGGAAAATTTACATAAGGTTCTTTCGGATTACATGAAAAGATTTTCATCGATTGCTGGAAATTTAATAAATTGCGGACCCATTTTAAATTGGTTAGAACTCGATAATAAAGGTCATAGGTTACTCATTCCGAATAATATTAATTATCCTATAAATACTCCTGCCGTTGCAGCAGCATATTCTGTAAAACGATATTCGGCTCAGGCTCCGGATGAAATTTCTTTCGAAGTATGTTTACATTGTTTTAAAATGGCCCCCCACCACCCCCCGTAGTAATTTTATAACGTTAAAATTTGTGTTCAAGGTCGGTGATATGATTTCCGTAATCGATATGCCACCTTCTGAAGAATCGATTTGGTGGCGTGGGAAGCGCGGATTTCAAGTGGGTTTTTTCCCATGCGAATGCGTGGCCGTCATCGGTGATAAAATTCCGAAAAATATTAAATTTTCATCGAAAATATCTCAACCTACGAAACCTGTACTTCGAAAGCATGGAAAACTCATTTCTTTTTTCAGGTATTTTCTAAACACAATTAATAATTTATAATTTTACGAAATGAATGTATAAAAATTCGAATAGTAATTAAAACGATTCCTTTTATAATTCAGATCGTTTATTTTATCTCGACCCTCTCGTCGAAGACTCAAACAATCGGGAATATTAAAAGAAAGAGTTTTTGGATGCGATTTAGGAGAGCATTTGTTAAATTCCGGACACGAAATCCCGATGGTTTTAAAATGTTGCGTTGAATTTATCGAATATCACGGTTTGATCGACGGAATATATAGATTATCCGGAGTCACGTCAAATATTCAAAAACTAAGGTAAAATTTTAAAAAAGGGAATTTAAATTGAACTCGATTAAATTTCAATTGCCACGTTATTGGAATGTCATTTTAGAAACACGTTCGACGAAGATAGGGTACCTGCTTTGTACGAGGATCAAGCCATACTTCAAGATGTACATAGCGTTGCTAGCCTATTGAAAATGTACTTTAGAGAATTACCCAATCCTCTATGCACGTATCAGCTATACTATCAATTCGTCGGAGCCATTCAAACTCAAGATAAAGAAAATGCAAGATTGTTAAAAATTAGAGATGTCGTACAAAAATTACCACCGCCACATTATAGGTTCGCCATTTTTTTTCGTCTCAACTCATTCATTCATTTCCTATAGTCGTAGTACTGATATTATATTTTTCTAACGTTTCAGAACTCTCAAATATTTAACAAAGCATTTAGCTCGCGTATCGGAAAAGGGTGCCGAAACCGGAATGACTTCACGAAACATAGCCATAGTTTGGGCTCCGAATTTATTACGTTGTAAAGAATTAGAAGTCGGAGGGGTTGCTGCTCTTCAGGGTGTCGGAGTTCAAGCCGTCGTTACGGAATTTTTAATTTGTTACGCAGATTTAATTTTTAGCGATCAATTACCAAATTTTAACGTATCGACCGAAGGGTCGGTTAAGAAAAGTCGGCCGAAATCCTTGGCGATATCCACACCTACGAAATTATTGTCACTCGAAGAAGCGAGAACAAGAGCTTTACTGCAAACATCTAATAAAGAAGAATCGAATTACATTGAAGTGGGTGGAGGACCGTCATGCCTTCCTGCAAAGTATCATACTGTGATAGAGCTACCCGGTTACACGAGGAAAAGACTGGGTTCGAAACGTTCTCCGATCGGTTGGAAATTTTTATTCGGGAAAACCGGAAGGAGTTCAAATCCTAGCAGTAAAGAAACGAGTAGCAAAACCTCGAGTGACGTATTTGACGTCGTATTACCAGTTCGTAAAAATTTTTTCAACCATAAAAAGTTTCCCCGAGTTTCGAAAAAAATAATAATAATAATGATTTTTTTTTTTTTAGAAAAGTGTCGCTTTAACCGAATCGGATTTAGTTCAAAATCGACTCCTTTTGAGACCGGCAAAAAGCGCAGAGAGTTTAAATTCGAGTCAACAGTCAATAACCTTAGATGTAAGAAGTTCCCTTAGTGTAAAAATAGAAAATCCCAATAGCAGTATTGTTAATTCTCCATCGGTGAAAAATTGCGACGGGAAAAACGGTCATAATCGATCCGTTTCTCACGAGTCATATTTCGATCACTATCAGGATACGAAGGTTCGTGTGTGCGTGTGTCATTCAATAAATGTAATTTAATTGTCGAGAGGTAGTTTCTTTTATGTGTCATTTTTCTAGAAGAATTTAACGTCGGACATAAGTGAAATACAAGTCAATTTCGATCTTGAAGAATCGGAAATGCGAATATTTTCCGAAGATGAAACACTTTTGTCAGCGGGTAGCGATAGTTTAACGTCAAACAGTTCGCCTCGTTTAATCAACAGTCAAAAATCTGGAAAATCTACTACGGTTTGTTTCTGAACAAATTTTAAATGAAAATTTAAAATGAAAACTTGAGAAAAGTAAACAAACATTAGCAATAACTATTATTAATAATTTTTTAACGACAGGGTAATAGCATAAAAAGGTCTTCTTGTCCGAAATTAAACACGACGGAAAATTTTCTCAACGCGGATCCATCACCGAAAAAACAGAAAACAAACGAAGAAAATTGTTTCAAGTCAAAATTGGAAGAACAATTGTCGAGTTCGATGGGAGATATTCAATTCATCGATAGCGTTTCTCCAGATCAGGTACAAAAAAAAAAAAGTAAATAATAATTTGGGGGGGGGCGGGCGGATAACGATTGTTGAAAACTCAAAAAACTTTCTTTTTTTTTTCCCCTTCAAGGGTCTAGTTCCGTGCGAAATGGGTCCGATACAAAGTCCATCATCGATAGCATCCATTTCACAAATGAGTTCTTTACTGTTGGTACCCTCGAGTCCTATTTTACCTCACATTCCTCATTTAAATTTTCCATTTTCCGTTACTTCAGATACCTCAAATTCGCATAACGACTTTAAAACAAACGATGGACCGAACGATAATTTATTGACGAATTCGTCAACGAATGATTCCATCGAACAATGTTCTTCTCACGAAACAAATAATTTTAATAAATTGGTGGATGAAAGTTCCGGTCGGTGTTTGAACGGTTCGAACGTGATTGAAATTTCAGCATCGAGCAGCGGTGGAAGCATCGGAGAAATCACTCCGGATTCTTCTGTCGGATTACCCTACACTCCGTTGGTAGATACGAGGGAAACGAACGATTTTCCCGACGTGAAACAACCCCCCAGTCACGACTCGACTAATTCGACCACTAAAATTTGTTTACCCAAAAGTTCAGAAAACGACGACGATAGTTTAATTACGAAAAGAAATAGTGTTAGTAACGTTTTCGCCAAAAATGAATGCGAAGTTAAATTATTGCCTTGTCGAAAAACTGCTACCGAATTAAACGTCGTTGTGGACAAATCGGATGATGGTAAAAAATTGACATCGAGCGATAAATCGTTGGAAAAAAGTAGTATTATCATGAGCAGTTCGTCGAGCGACTTTTCGATAAACGATAAATCGATAGTTTTAGAAACGAGTTTCGAAACGAAACCTTTGCCGAATTCGAATCGAAATAATCCCGACAGTATTAAATACGAGTGTATATCGACAGAAAGTTCCTGTGATTCGTTAATCAATGTAAATAATAAAAATAACGAAGAAAATACGTCACTATTGGGTTTGCTTTGCGATCTGGACGACATTGCGTTGAAAAATTTAACGGACAATAAAATGGATTCTTCGAAGGATGATTTAAGAATGTTACCATCAAACGACGAATTCGAAAAGGATTCGAAAGGTGAGTCAGAATTCATTCAAAAAAAAAAAAAAAAATTTTTAAGGGAACGTACACGCGCTCTAATTGTTATCATTCAATTCCAGGTGAAATTGTAGGAGACGACAAAAGATTAGATGATGAAAAAAGTGTACCTGAAAATTATTTAGATTCGGAAAGAAACCTGGTTTCACTGAGGAACTATCCCGAAACCAAACGTCATTCCGGAAATCTATTAGAAACGGATTTAGATGCTCTCGACGTTTTAGAAATGGCCAATTTTCCCTCACGTTCGAGTTTCGACGATATTAAAGAAAATTCGACGAACGTTTTTGTGCCTCAGAAATCTAGTTCAAGTGGAAACGTTCAACAATTGCTCTCCAAATTCGAAATTAAACCATCGAGTAAAACCGTTTCGAATGACGTTGAAAATACCGTAACGAAAAAAGAAATAAAATCTATGGAATGTTCGAAACCGGACAATGGCCGACACGAATTGTTCGAACGTCCTAAAACGTTGGAAAGAATGTGCGCGAAAAGAAAAACGGGAAAAGATTACGTGGAAATGGAAAAGGTTTCCCTTGGGAAATCCAAAAGCGGAAGTCAAATCAACGAGAAAAAAACGGACGGTGAAAAATTTGAAAAATTCATTGCGGGAGGAGGAGGAGGAGGAGGGGATTTCGATTTGTCGGATCCGCAGAGGAGAGAAAGAATAGAAAAATATAAAGAAAAAAGGCGGAATTATTTAAGGGAAAAATACAGGTCGGATAGTTTTAAAAATGATAAAAGCGGAGAAAACCTCTCGACGACGGGTAACAACAACAAATTGAAATTTTCGTTTAAAAAAGAACGAGAAATAACCGTTGGAGAAAATTTTGACGTCACGGACAGAAACGACGAGTCTCCCCCTGGGAGGGGTTGTTCAAACGACGTCATCAATTCGGATAAAAAAAATAAATTTACGGGTTCGAAAATGAGTAAAGTGTCAGATTCGGTATCGAAAGACTTATTACGACGTTCTCTCCCCTCGGAAATTTCATCCGAACGTTCGCGATTTGAATTAACGTCTCTTTCGAACACATTCAAACAGTATTCAACGAGAAAGGGTAGCGGTATACAAAGGTTACACAGCGAACCCAAAAATACACGTTCGCAACAAGATTTTGACGATGGTAAAAAAATTCATCAAACGTTAGGGTAAATAATTTTCTTTTAAAATTATCCTACTGGTCCTAACGGTCAAAAAAAGAAAAAAAAAATTTTCACAATACCTTGATGTGTGTTTTTTTTCCCAACAGGCAGGCTTCTCCTGACGGAAACATCTCCCACTGTAAATCGGCGTCGACGAAAATCAAATCAGACATTTTAAAAACACTTGTAAATACTTCGGACGTCGAAAATCAAAACGTTAAAAAAATAAACTCCGCGGAAAACGATAAATCACCCACGACCGTTTGCATAAAAGATCTGAGAGCGCAGTTTGAAGAACAAAGTGTTGCCAACACAGCAAAGCAATATCTTTCGTCCGTCTGATTGGTCGAAAAAAAATGGCGGGAAATGATTTGTCATCCATTTTGAATGACGTCAGTCACGTGTGAAAAACAAAACAAAATACATATTTATTTATTTTTCTTTAATCGATTTGTTCGTTTTTGAAGACGAAGAATGATTCACGGGGGAGGGGGATGGGGGGAAATAAAAATGGGGAGAGAGAGAGAGAGAGAGAAAAAATTAAAAAAGTTTATTCAATCATTTTTTTTTTTTTGTTTTGATTTTATGTTTTCATCAAATTTTTCGTTTGTTGTTTTATCAATTGTCGTTATCATTATTATTATTATTTTTTTTTTAAATTTGTTTTTATTTTTTTAAATATTTTGTTTCAAATATTAAAAGAAGAAGAAGAAGAAATCATTATTATTATTTTTTAAATACATTTTTGTGTTTATATTCATCACTTTGTATAATCACAAGGATAACTTTTATTTAATAATAATCGATATTAATTTTTTTTTTATTGATTCTTTTCAAAATCTGATATTATTTTAACTTGATTAAAAAAAATAACGCAATAAATAATATTTAATAAAATAAATCGCATAAATTATTATAACTTATATGTATAAATTTATATATATATACACATAAACACACACACACACACACACATACATATATATATATACTTAAATATATTTATCGTACCTGAGGTAAATTCGATTACTTATTTTCATTATTATTATTATCATTGTTATTTTTTATGGAAAATCAAATCTCGGAATAAAAAAGGACTCCATTTTTTATTTATTTATTTATGTATTTCATTTTCCTCTGGAATATTTATATATATATATGATTTTGTCATTATTATTATTATTTGAATAAGTTTGATATGCAAACTCAAATTGTTTTTATTTTATTTTATTATATATATATATATGTATGTAATTATATAAAAGTATTTAATAACGACTGATATTATTATTATTATTATTAATTAAGTCTGGCTTTTTATTAGCTTAAACGCTTCTTTAAAATTTTTTTTTTTTTTTATGTAATTATGTTTTTATTTTATATATATATTTTTAAAAAAATTGAAACAATTATTATTATTATTTTAATAATTTATTGTAAATTTCATGGTATATCCTACTTTTTTTTTTTTTTGTTTATGTATATATATATATATATTTCTATGTGTTTTTTTTTTTTTAATATTTTGTTTTTATATTTATCGGTTGCCAAAATGAAAAAATAATTAAATGAATAAATAAACTTATAGTAAATAAAAATAATTTTTTTAGTCAAAATGAAATAAGTACAATTAAAAAATAAATTATTATTATTAATAATAATAAACGTAATTAACTTATATTTTTGTTTATTATTTTCTTATTACTACCTATTATTCATATTAATCGAGAAAAAAAAAAGGGGGGGGGATGTTCGACAAGCGAGGGGATGTTTAAAAAAAAATAATAATAATAATCCAAGAGGAAAATTTTGAATATTTGATCAATTGCAATTTTTATCATGAATTTTTTTGTAAATTAATATCATCAATTGAAAAAATATTAAAACGTTTATATAAGTTAAATGTTTTTTTTAAATTATCCGGTTGAATAATGGTCGAGTACACAATATCTTCGCTTCCAGCGTTCTGTATATCTTTATTATTATTATTATTATTAGTATTACCACGATCGTAAATTGAATCTATGGTAAATATTGATGGATTGATTGAATTATTTATTAATACTTCTTTCCTTTCGAATGTTTTTATTTTATCATTTTTTTTACTCGTTGATGTTGTTGTTGTTGTTGTAGATGTTTTGTTAAAAAATTTTTTACCCTATAAAAAAATTCAACGTACAAATTTTCTTTTCATCGTTTATTAATAATAATAATAACAATTCTATTATTCTATTTTTTTCTTGTAAAACTTTTATCTTATGTACTCCTACATTGTTCTCTCTTTTTTTTTATATTAAATATCGAACGATCGGTATTAAATTTAATTAAATTTATATTTTTATTATCAGAGCACACTAGAATAAAAAAAAATTTAAAGAAAAGTTTGTTTGATTGACATTATAAATTTAACCAGGTTAGGTTATGAATTTGAATTTAAAAAAAAAAAAAAAAGTTATAAATCTTATTATAACTTTATTTATTGATTTCAAATGTGATAAATAATCGTTAAAAAAAAGATTTCTTACTGATAATATAACACAAAGGTTATCATTAACGTTTGATCACTATCGATTTTTTTTTTTTTTTTATTAATTTTAAACGTGATAGTTTTTAATTAAAAATTTTTGTTATCTTTTATTTGTATATCGCGTTGTAATCGCGTAGTAAAAAAAAAAAAATCCTTCTTTTCACTAATAGAATACGAAAATAAATTTTTTTGTTTAAAAAACTCGATTTTTAAAAATTACATAAAGAAAAAACCATTAATAATAAGAACAACAACAACAACAACGACGGCCATTTTGTTTTTTTTTTTTTAACGGAAATGTAATAATTAACCAAACGATGACAATTTCATAGAGATAGAAAACGAACGAAAAGTAGTTGTTCTAGTCTTTTCTGTATGGTTTAACGTTTTTTTTTTAACTATTGTTAATTTTATTGTTTTTAAAGTATTTCCCTCGCTTCACTTACCCATTTTTCAAAAAAATATAATAACGGACAAACAAGTGCACATTGCAAACCTTCAACGAGATAATTAAAAAACAAATAAACTTCGATATTATATTCTAACGGTCGTCCAATTGAAAAACCAAATTGGAGCCAAAAGTAAAAAATTAATATGGACATGATTAAACCGCATTTCCTAAAACGTAAGAAACGTGTAAGAGTTTATAATTACATTTTAATTTGAAATAATGAAAAAAACAATTGAAATGGGGGGGGGAATTAACATGGGGGGGAAAAATCATACAAGTTACCTGACTTGCTCGCTGCTATCCTTATAAACTGTACATTTTTGCGACATTATCAATCTAGTTATGTCTAATATTAATCCCAATTGTATAAATAAATACAAAAGTCTAATTGTATTTACAATCCACTGATAAGCAGAATTTTTTTGTACAACGGAAATCCACATCAAATCATTACATTCGTTTGTTAAAACAAATATCCATGTGAGAGCAAAATAAATGGCGATACCTTGAATAAAATTAATAAATTATTTTTACTATTTTATAATTACAGGTATATGATTACGACAATCGAATAACTGACTGACTTGGTACGCCATATTCATAAAGTTTTAAACTTGGTTCACTGTTGAAATTAACTCTTATGCATGCATGAAGGTATATTGTTAATATTAACCAAAAACCCAAAACTAAATTATGTGAAATGCATTCGAAAGCTAATAAGGTATTACTTCCAGGTACGTCGTTACTAACCTATAAAAAAAAAAAAAAACACTTTTAATACACATACATTTATTTGGTAGATTTTCATGGTTAATACTTACACCGTAAATAACAATTGATGCAATTAACAAGCTAAAAAAAGTTCTGCAAAGCAAAGAAGTTACTAAAAAAATTGAATAAAGTACTGTCGTTTTATTTTTGAACCTGAAAACAGGATGAATAGGTTGGTTAATAAAAGATGAAGATGATGATAATTATAAAAAACATAATAATGAAAAATTAATTTTTTTAGGTATCTTACCTGTTGTATATTATGTAACCGTAATAACTCAAACCCACAATCAAGCTAATACTTAACATTGCTATGTAAAATTGTGCAGCCGATGGATAATCATTATTATCAATGTATGCGACATTTTTTTTCGATACTAAAAAAAAAAATTAACGAATTATTATCATCATCATCATCATCATCATCAACAGGTAATTAAAATAATAAAATATTTTCATACCTCCCCCCGTCGTTGTCGTCGTCGTCGTCGTCGTTAACGTATCGTAAATAAATTCTTCTCCTCCTTCTTCTCCTGTTGCTGTTGCTGCTGTTTCTTGTAAATTTTCAATATCCGACCGTATTTTAAACATTTTTTTTTAGCAAAATAATAATAATAATAATAATGATTTAACACACACAAGCACACACGGTAAAAATAATTTAAATTTTTGATTATTTAAAACATTATTATCCGCGTAATAACGAATATGGGACTATTTCGTTATATTTTTTTAAATCTTGATAAGAAAAATGATAATTTCATATCTATTCTTTTTTACACGAAAATTTAGATTTAAAACGGTCTAACTTCAACGAGTCCCCATATCGTTAACGTTTAAATAATAATAATAATAATAATAATAATAATAATAAACAATGAATAACCTAATTAAATCCATATCGCGATTATTTAAAAATCCCATTCAAACGCACACACACACACACATTTTTTTACCCGTCAAATTTTTAAACATCCAAACAATGACTTTTAAAAAAAAAGAAAACACTTGAATAAATTTATTATTATTATTATTATTATTATTATTATTATTATTTTTCGACCGTCATCATCATCATCATCATTATTATTATTATTATTATTATTATTATTATTATTATTATTATTATTATTATTATTTTTCCCCGTTTGAATTTTCATTAACGTGATGACAATAACGTGTGTGTGTTAAAAAATTGTGACGTCATTATTATTATTCCTATTACGTAATTTATTATTACCTTTTTTTTTTAAATATCGTCTGCTGTTAAAAATTAATTTCGAATTATAAAGAAAAAAAATTATTATTATTATTATTATTATTACTATTATTTAATTAATTAATTAATTAATAAAAAAAAATGACAAATGATGACGGTAGATAAATAACAATAAATAAATAAATAAATAAATTTTAAACGATGCGTAAATATTAACGTTAGGTAAAAATTACAATAATAATAATAATAATTGGTTGAGTAAATGATTTGAATGATCGTGGGAGGAGAAAAGAGAGGGAGGTGATTTTAAAAAAAATGGCGCGAAAATAAATAAATAAAAGGGAAGTAAAAATTAAGATAATTATTTAAGCGATGATTTTGACGATTCGGATGGTGCCACGGTAAAGGGATAAACTTTAATTACGTTAGATTTATTATTATTATTATTGTTGTTATTTTTCGATTTCCTGGAATTATTATTATTATTATCGTCGTCGTCGTGTTGTTGTTGTTGAAATTCTTCCTGCTCGCGAAATGACTTCTTCTTCCACGAGTATCAAAATTGAAATTTTTAAATTTTTTAATCGCGGGTTTTTCCGTTTGACGTAATCCAGATTTTTCCGTGACGTTTTGTATGACTTCCGAAAGTTTACGTAGTTCTTTTGCGATTGATGCTTCGCTTTCGTCGAATACTCTGCTGGAACTCACGGGTGTCCAATCGGAATTATCTTCCCGAATCGACATCCCCTTCTGACTTTTGTAACTGAGTAAAATAATAATAATAATAAAAAAAAAACCGTTAGAAATTTTAAACTAAAAAAAAAAAAAAAAATCATTTCCGTTAACATTTACATTTTAGTCGGTTCCGTTTCCGTTTCGTCGGAGATTTTTTTAACGTTCACCCAGGAGACTTTTCCAGGTTGGGAAATTTCTAAACCATCGTTTAAATTTTCTTTTTCATTTGTCGCGGGTTCGTAAAACGTGTAAATTTCCGATGAACTTCCGGTCGGTTCGACGACGTTCGCTTGATTTAATATTTGAGTATTCAAGTTGTTATTTCCGGTTGTTACTCGATTCGTATTATCTCGGAGGTTTTGTAACAAAACGTTATTCGCATTATTGTAATAAATTGATTGATCCGGAGAAATTCCTTGATTGATGATAGCACCACCGCCTCCTTGATTCGTTCCGAAAAAGGGTAAATTTGACGTCGGCGTGGTTCCGACGACGTTATTATTATTATTATTCATATCGACTAATAATTGTTCTTGTCTCGTATTTACGATCGGATAAGGATTCTGATACCACGTCGTTATTATTTTACTATTATTTAAAACGGACTCGATATTTTGATAAGGATAAACGTTACCGTAAATTCTTTCGGAAATGGGTTTTTGTTCGTTTTGTTGTACGACGTTCACATCCGGTCCCAACGTGTAAAATTGCGTCGCGACGGGTTGAGAAAGACTTATGGTATTGATTCCAGCGGGAGTGACGGGAACAACCGTCAGAGAAGAAGGATAATTCACACTCATCAACGGATTATAAAATGAATAATCTTTTTGTTGTTTGTTTTGATTCGACGCCGCGGCGACATGTTCTTTTTTCGAATGAACTCGAATTTTTTTCGAAGGCGAACGTAAATAATGATGTTTGAGATGCCCTGGAAAAAAAGTAATAATAATAATAATAATACGATCAAGTTATCCACGATTTTGTGGGAATTTTATCCCCGCATCCAATCCTTTTTATACCTTTTATCCGTACGTAATGACCCGAAGATTCTTTGTTGGGTATTTTTTTATGAATGTGATAATAATCGGACATTTTTAACGGTTTATACGATATCGATCCGGCATAAGTCATTTTATTCGGATGTGAATAAAATCCCTGTTGAGAATAATAAGAATTTTGAAAATTAACTTTTCCAATCGTTGACATTTTCTTTTTACCCACGTTGACGTATTTCGATTTAGACGGGGTCGGATGTAATAAATTAACGTAATTTTTATAATAATTATATCCTCCCGTTTTATATTTTAAATGCATATCCCCGTGACCGACATTTTTATTCGGGATTTTATAATTCGAATGTAAATATTCGGTTCCGCGCGTTACGTCGACTTGTGGTTCTTTAACGTAATCGTCTTGTTGCACCAATCCCGCATTTCCCACCGACGGAAGTTCAACCTGTAAAACATTTTTGTAAATGCAAAGTAATCTCGCACGTTATTAAATCAAATTTTAAATTAAATCTCTGCGAAATTACTTTACCTGATCGGATATGAGAACCGCTGGAACTGCTGGAACGTAAAATGGAGCCGGAGAAGTATATTGAAAAGTATCGCCGCCATTAACAACTTGCGAAATGGGAAACAAATTAATTTTATTCTCTGAAACTTGATATTGTACGGATTCGTTACATAATCCATAACCGAATATGTAAAAAACGTAGAAAAACGCGTTCTGAAAACAAAAAAACAAATAAATATTTTTCCCGCCAAATACATTTCAGTTTTTTTTTTAAATTTAAAAATATTCGTTGCTTTTTTTTTTTTTAACGGATAAAACAAACCTACGTCACCGAGTCGAACCTGCATAAATTGCAAACAAACACTAGGGATAATTGTCGCCGAATTACAAAAATTTTTTAAAAAAATGACGCGATTGCGACAAAAATTTAAAAACGTTATAACAATTCGTACGTAAACGATTTTTTTTCGTTTTTTAAATCAACTTAAATATTAAAAATAATAATAATGATGATGATGATGATGATAATAATAATAATGGTAATAATAATAATAATAATAATACTTACGAAAAAATTTATTTTCATTTTTAAAATTTTTTTAAATTAATAATAAATTTACATTTGTTTGTTGTTTTTCGCGCTTTTTTTTCCTTTTTCTCTCTCTCTCTCTCTCTCTTTCTCTCTCTCGATATTTTAACGGATAAAAATATTTAACGCGAATCGATAGATCGAACGATAAAATCAAATCATTTAAAAAAAAAAAAAAATTAATAAACTAAAAAATTTTTCTTTTTTACACTTCGAACTTGAATAAGTAACTGATATGTTTTACAATTAAATAATGTAAAGAATAAAAAAAATTTTTTTTTTTTTTTTGGCGAAGTTAAGGATTAAACGATAATAATAATAATAATAAAGTGGGAAAGTTTTTTTTTTTTGCTTCTGTAAAGTGAATATCAAATAGAAAATATCTTTTTTTGCTACCATTAGTCACATTTTGCTTTCTTTTTAACACTTTTAAACTACTATTCAAATGAACTTTTTAACTTTCTCTGATTTAATGCCAAAAAATTTTAAAAATTTTATTATTATTATTATCATCATCATTATTATTACTATTATTATTATTATTATCATCATCATTATTATTACTACTACTATTATTATTATTATCATCATCATCATCATTATTATTATTATTATTTTTGTTGTTTTTTTTAAGTTCTCACGTTGTATGACGTTTTTTAACGTGTCTGATTTTTTTGCGTTAAATCCATTGCATTATAAACAACCAACCTTCCCTCGTGCTACTACCACTACTACTACTACTACCACCACCACTACTACTACTACTACAACTTATATTATTATTATTATTATTTTCATTATAATTTACAAACTACAACGTTTTGTTTAGTTTCTTTTTAAAAAAGAAACCAACGCACGTTTTGTCGTAAAAAAAAAAAAATGTCTGCTTTTAAATTCCGTTTCGATTTGTATAAAAAAAAATTAAATTAAATTATTTAAATGCAGACGACATTTTTTTTTTTTTTTTGTTATTGGGACGCGCGATTGGGTCTTGCCAATTATTATTTCTCTTTTTATTGGATAACGACCAAAAAAAAAAAAACTTGCGTACCTGAAATTATGTATATCCTTATGTTAATTAATTAATTTTTACCAGCTGCTACTACTCCTGTACCACCACCACCACCTCCCCTACTACTGCTACCCTGAAAAGAAAAAGAAAAAGTTATTTGTTTAAATAATTTAAACTGATTTAAATTCTCCATATTATTATTATTATTAAAGTGTAAAAATGCAAATAACGTTTAATGATAAATAAGTTTTCTACCACTACAGGTTTGTGACGTGTCGTTTAAGGTATGCGAAACGTTTTTTTTTTTTTTTTGCTCTTATCAATCTTATCAATAATGATTATCATTATTAATTTTTTTTAAGGACTAGAAGACGACAAGAGGTAAAATGTAAAAATACAAAAAAGTTTTAGTAATTTACCCGTGGCTATTACCACCACCACTACCATCACCGTCATCCCCCTCCCCTCCCCCGGCCGGGGGGTAAGTTTAAATTAAATGATTTTTAGATTGTGACATTGACACAAAACGCGAGTTTTTAATAATTAACGTACCTTAAATTAACAGAGTTAATAACAAAACCCCCTTTTTTCCCCCCGATGGCGTTTAACAATTAACAAACCGCGAAAAATTTTTCAATTATTTTCCTCCTCCCCCCGACCCCCCGTAAACTATTTGAATTATTATTATTATTATTATTATTTTTAATTTGAACGAAGGTAAAAAAAAAAAAATCATTAGTTTAACATTATGGAGTTTAAAAGTTCAATGACGTCAACAACAACAACAACAACAAATTACGAACAATAGTAATAGTAAAAGTAGTAATAATAATAATAATAATAAACAATGTCAATTACCGACTTAACCGTTCATTCTCCGTATCAAAATTAACGAACGTTTACTCCAGGGTCGAACAATATATTTGTGACGTCACACACATGATTTACTCTTCTTTGTTATAAACATTATAATTATTAAAACAACAACAACAAATAATTACGGTTTAAACAAGCTTTTAACATAAAAATAATTTTTTTTTACAAAAATTTTCCACCCCCCGATTATTTCGTAAGAAAAAAACTATTATCATCATTATCGTCATCACAAACGTTAAATAAAGCCAAAAGGTATCGATTGTCATTTTTAGCCTTAACGTGACGCAATAGAGGAGAAATAACCCCGTAAACAACAACAACAACAACAACAATCGCCTCTAACCACGTGATTAATTAATTTGTATAGAAATTATGAGGAGGAGAAACAAAAGCGATTAAAAAAAAAAAAAAAAACGGTTACAATACAATCCCGCATTCATTTCCTCGAGGGAGGTCACGTACGATTGATTGATTGATTGATTGATTGATTTAGGAAAAATTAAAAAAAAAAAAAAATGTTCGACAACGACGTACGCACGAAATGACCCTATTAAAATAAAATTAATAGATTTTCCCGTTGAAAAATTTTCCCGGCGGTGTAATTCGTAATTTACCCCCCCCCCCCAAACAATTTAAATTCGACGTGACAACAAAATCCTTCCAGCGTTTCGATTATCACGTTAAAATCATAAATGGAAATTTTTTCCGGCAAACGACAACATTTTTATTTATTCTATGGAATTTTTTATTTATATTTTTGACGTATTTTTCAATAAATTCGAACCGGAGATTTTTTTTTTTTATTGTAATTTTTCGGATGGGATCCGATTTCCGGTATCGAATTAATCTATTTCCGGTTTGATTTCTTCTCTTTTTAAATATTAACCATATGATAACCGATTCGCTGATACAATACTGTTGGCACGATTAACCCATTAAACGTCGTTTACTGGAGAGTACCCGCCCCCCGCCTCCGCCCCCAATTATTATTCGTCATCGAATTATCAATTTACTTCACTCTCATAATAATAATAAGTAATAATTTTTGAAAATTAATAATAATAAAAAATCATTCATTCCAAACTATTAATTAATTTCTTTTTCATTATTCAAACAATTATTATTATCATCATCATCATTATTATTATTATTATTAAATTTATTATTATTAATCATCGGGGGGTTTTTTTTTTTTAGTTTCAAATTTCTTAGAACGACATTAGATTTATTATTATTATTATTATTATTATTATTTCATTCAAATAATAAGTATACGAGCGTAAATAATAATAACGCGGATGTGCATTTAATTAAAAAAAAATTTTCTTGGAAACCCGAAGAAAAACCACAATAATAATAATAATAATGATAATGATAATAATAATTTTTCTTTTGAAAACATGCGGAAAAATAACAAGTTTTTCCAATACGAGTAAGTACGAAATTTCGCGCCTTTTTCACTCCTCATACATACATCGACTCGATTAATAAATTATTTTATTGTTTAATTGATTCAATTTGTTTTTTCTAGAATCATCCATCACCCCCTCCCTCTTTCCCTCCCTCCCCCCTCTTTTTACAGTTTTTCTATAAAAAAAAAATTGTACGTTTACAATAACGCGCCACAACAATTCCAATAAATAAATGATTGTTACGACCATTTAGGAAATGGGGGGAAAAATTTTAGGAATTGCCAAAAATTTAATTCATTCTTCCCCACTTCCATTACAAAAAAAAAAAAAAAAACCAAAATTTGGAATGCCGATATAATATAATAATAATAATAAATAAACGAACGAACGATTTAAATCAAAAAAAAAAAAAAAAAAAAGAAAAGAAAAGCGTGAAAGCGAAAAAAAAAAAAAAGCAAAATGGAGCAGAAAAAGAAAGTGTTGTTTGAATCATTTCACTAGAATCAAATCAAATCGTTAATATAATGAAAAAAACAAAAATGGCGGACGATTTTTTTTTTTTTTTTCCACGTGGGTCACGTTTATTCCCATCATCATCGACACCATTTCCGTTATTTTTATCCTCCTCATCATCATCATCATCATCAAGAGCGAATGTTTTACTAAGATAAAATTTCGTTTCCTTACGGTTTACCCTGCTTACGACGACAAAAAAAAATGCAAAATGGCGGAAAATTGATCGATTCTATGATTTTCGATTATCGTAATAAATAAATAAATAAATTATTAAGTATTAAAAATATTATCATTATCTTTTACGGCGTCGAATGCATTGATTTACTTAATGCCACGATAAAAAAAAAAAAAAAATTAATCAATCAATCACGTTCAAAACATTGTATTAATTTTAATTAAACAAAGGCAAATTATTATTATTATTATTATTATTATTATTATTATTATTATTATTACTATTATTATATAATCGCATATCTGATAACGTTTTCCTCACGCCACCGTAATTTTATTACTGGAGTGTGAATTGAGATTATTAATATTAGCGATGATGATGATTATTATTATTACGATGACGATGATAATGAAAATTTAAAAAAAAACAATAATGATAATAATAATAATTCAATACGGGGGGAACCGTTTCCGTTTCATTTACTGCAATTATTATTATTATTATTTTAGGTTTGTATGCGTTTAGGGAATGAAATTCAAAAAAAAAAAAAAAAAAAAAAAAAATCAAAAGTCAAGATGGCGAGAAGAAAATGGTTGATAAGAAGGAGGAAAAAAATTTGAAAAATTACGTCAGACCCTGTGAAATGTGTGGGGGAGAGGGAGGGAGGGAGGAAGGGAAAACCCAAAAAATTTCATTTGTGTCAAAACAAAACAAAAAAAGTTAAATTAATAATAATAATAATTAAAGTATTAAAAAAAGTAACTTGG